CCCGCTGCGCATCCAGGCTGCTCAAACGTTGTCGAAAGTTTGGCAGCACATACGTGTGTGTGAACAACTATTTTCTTTGATGAAGCTGAACAAAACATCACACAGAAGTCGATTTACTGCTGAACACCCTCACTCAATTTTGAGGATTTGCTCAGCTCAGAGCCTGACCCCAAATATTGATGAACTTGTAGAAAAGTTAAGACACCAGCGAGTATCAGCCTCAGCCTCAAAGAAGTGCATATTACTTATAATATACTGTGCAATCACATATTAAGAGTTTTTACTCAGTTCAAGTTTAAAAATTAAAGTATAATATTTGCTTTCGCTGCTTGTTACTTCTTGAAGAAAGTGTTGTTTTTGGTTTATACATTTTTGCACTTTATTTTGTTGTATTTCAATCCAATTATGTTTTAAAAATATTTTATTCGAGTAAATGATCGAAAATTACTGTACTATTATTTGTTTTTCTTTTAAGTAAATTTAGCCTACTTTTGCTAAAAGAGAAAACATGGACTATTGATAGTGCCTTGAATATCGGCTTCTTTTATTCATGTTATGGGTATTTTTATACAAAGGAAATTTTTTTTGTGCCTGTTGAAAATTAAAGTTTACTCACATAGCCGTAAAAAATGTTGCTTTATTTATCTGACCATATTGGAATGTATTTGTTAGGTTTTCAGTCAATTAAATTTGGTTCAATAAACAATGTGTGGTCATTTTTAAAATTTTCAATGAACATTCGATCAGTCCGGCCCTCGGCTTGCAGCAAAATTTTTTATCTGGCCCTCCGTCCATTTGACTTTGACACCCCTGTGTTAGTCATTACTAAGGATGGGTGCCGAGTCCCGGTACTATACGAATGCTTGGGCTGAATTTTAAACAGCCAAGACTCCACTTGATGAATATGAAATGTCCGCTGAAATGAAAAGTTAATTATTCATCAAAATCCCAACAGTTTCTCACTGAATTTAGTCATCAGTCTTCCCCTTGCAAAAAATTAGTGACTGTCAGGAAATCAACCTCTATTTTTGTTTGTTAGCATGGCTGGTCCAGTGCATTCAAAGTAGTGGAGTTTTCTCAGCTTTCAGAGTTGCCAGACGTCGCAATGTCAAGTTTGAGGTCACGAGAAACAACAGATACTGGTCGATGCTTACCAGCCTCCAAAGGTCTGGTTTTCTGGTAAGATGATTTGGGCTTCTCAACATCCTCGAATGTGCCTGCACTCTGTCGAGCACAGCCAAAGAAATGTCACAGTCATCTACATAGACATGTACACAAGGATGCAAACAGAAATGTACCTTATCCATCCTGTCATTCTGGACACCAAATTTTCCTCCAAACCCTTTGGAGTAATCTAGGGGAGGAGAAGAGGTAATGAATTGGAGGGTCTATTTGACTTTACCTCAGTTATTTCAACCACAGTCACTTTCCAAACAACTATCCATCCGTTTTCTGTACAGCTTCTTCTCATTTTGTGCAGCTGCTGTTTCATTTCTACATTAATTTAGTGACTATATTCGAATTCATTAGCGGCACCTACAAAAAGTCTTTCTATGAGACCTCGTAAGAGCTCCGATGAAACAGACTGTGGTTGAATTAGTTCACACAACACAATTCAGAAGAAAGGCTGATGGACTCATGCAAACCTGTATCAGGGAGGGAGAAACAGAAAAATGCACAGCAGACGCGCAATCTTAAAAGCCAGGCGCTTGGTCAGTCAAGCGGCCATTTCGCTTTTGCCGCAAACTGAAGATCAGCCATGTCTCATCGGAAGACATCAATAAAAATGCAATGATCATACCACTAAGCGACTATCATGCAACAAAATGCACTGGCCCAAAATAACAATAAACAAAGGAAATAACCATCACAGCAGTGCGAGAAACCGCAGGGGGAGCTGATCATTGAGGCACAACAATGTATCCATCCATCCTCAACTTCTAACCACTTGTCATCGCTAGGGTCGCAGGTGAGCTGGAGCCTTAACCGGCTGACTTGGGGTGAGAGGCAGGGTACGCCCTGGAGTTGTCGCCAGTCAAGTGCAGGGTGGCACAAAAAATACAATAAAAATTCACACTCACACCTACATGCAGTTCAGTCTCTTCAATTCACGGATGTTTTTGGAAAGACGTCCAAGTACCCAAGGAAAACGCCACACAGATATAGCGATGGAGATTCAAAGATGCATGTCCTGTGCTGAATGCTAACCAATACATCATATTGCCAGAAAAAAAATGTGATTCTAATGGGACGTTTGTCATTATGGAATGTTGCACAGCCATCTTGTGTACTCCTATAGGGGCCTTGTGATTGGACCTCAAAAATTCATCAAATTTTCAAAACCGTGAAGGCGTCAATTTGGGGAAAAAAAACAAACAGTTGGTCAGTCGGCTTTTGTGTACTTACGGTATATTATAATAAATGGTCTGTTATCGGTTGGGCTTATTTAAAAAAATATGTGAGGAGCACCTTGAAAAAAAAAAATCGCATACTAAATCAGTACGGGAATATTGAAGGGAAAAAAATGCAATTTGATTGTTTTTTTTTGGTTTTTTTTTTTTTAATCGTTCAGCCCTACTGCATGACATCATTGAAGGCAGTCGTAATAGAGACCTAATGCTCCTTCACCTTCGAACAGCTTGCTGATGAGCTGATCATTTGAATCAGGCGAAACACATCTAAAACAGGCAGGACATCAGCCGTCAAAGACCAGAGCTGGACACTCTTGCCTTAAAATTACCATTTCAGCATACGGTTACTCGTGCCTGTTGTAGATTTGCTACATTTACTCGAAGTTCTCATGGAAGGCTCAGGAGTAGGTTTCGGAGGAGAGGGGAGAAACAACATTGCCACAGGTCAACCAACCGTTTTGGAAAATGGTAGTGCTTTCCTGGAGAATTCCGCAACTTGGACCTGTAATCTCATTCATAATACGTGCATTTACAATAGGGTGGGGATACCGAGTAGGCCATCCATTTATGCATTCACTGCCCACCTGTCTGCCATCAATCTGAGGGCTTTTGTTTTTAGTTTATTTTTTTTTTACATTGAGCAGCTTTGAAACAACCCATTAAGATTATGACAGCGGAACTCAAGGCAAAAATTTCCCTTGGAATAATATGTTCTATGTGCCCCCACGAGTCTAAACTCTATACTCATGTTAATATTGAGACTGTGGAAGAAATTAGAAGATGAATCCATTCATTATTAAAAATATCTCAGGAGCACGCCACTTTGCTCAATACTGCCCTCTGCTGTTGAAAGAAAATACCACATTTTGAAACTGTCAAAACTGCCCTTGGGCTAGCAATGTGAACATCACAAGACCGAACGCAGAAAACAGGTGAGCTGTGACCACGTTTGCGAGTCAAACCCAAAGGCACTTTAATGTAAAAGTCAAAATGGCAGCCTCCTAAAACGGATGAAAGAGATATATTCATCTTTTTAATTCTTAGCCCACGAAAGCAATATCAATAAAAATACAGAGTTTAGCCTTGTGGGGACACAACATCCTGGCCTCAGTCGAACTGACATTGGAGGACGATGGAGTATAGCAGCACTAGAAACCTCTTAAAATAAAAAAATTCAAGTGCAAAATTCAGTGTATGAGACAGCGAAGCACAGCCCAGCGGTGGTGGGGGTTAACTGAAAGAGGAGAGCCAGTGTTTCAGCAAAGTAGAACATGGCCATGAACTGAAAAAGAAGGGATATAATCAACTACAAAAAAAAAAAAAAAATTTCAATCAATCATTGGCTATGAAGCTGATGATACTACATGTATTTTGTCAAGGGATGGCAAGACAAAGACCAGGCGTTCTAAAATACGGGAAGGTGTTGAGAAAATTATTTGTGCCTTTCTGTGACTCATGCTTGGCCAGGTTCTCCTTGTACTCATAGCCCAGGGCACTCTGGTCCTGCCTCCCCACCTCTACCCCATACTGACCTCCAAACCCCCGTTTATAGTCTGCAACATAACACACACAAATACAGACAGTATGGACAAACAAAGATCATACAATACAAACATGGATAACAAGGGCAGACCTCTCGTGGCGGAGACACAGACCGGGTGATTAAAAGTCCAACACCCATTTGGTCTTGACAGTGCTTATGACTTTGTATGTTTCTGACTCAACTCTTTTCAACCTACGATATTCAAAGCTACAATGATGCACAGGCAGTGAATTTGTTCCAGCCTGTTTTGTGTGAGAGTATCTCCTGAATCAATGCCTGACATTTAAGTCTACATTTTAGCCAGGCCTCAACTTCCTTTCTTTGTTCCTCTTTTGGTTTGACTCACACAATGAGGAAGTAATTATCCTTTGCAATACTACACATCAAACACCAAAAGAGAAGCTCCATCAGAAAAAAGAGGAAAGCATTTCAAAGCCTGCAGAGGAGAAATTGGACATTTTCTTATTTATTTTCGGAACAAACTATCATGGATAAACATAATGGTGGCTCAGGGAAAGTGTTAAACTTGAGGCACTTGAGCTTTGATGAGTCACAATAATTCCGGAGAGAAAAAAAAACAGCACTGGATGTAAATATGACATGATATCAAGCCAACAATGTATCGCCGTTGTTAAAATGTATTTTCAAATCGTGCCAAAATTCACCTTGAGCAGGCAATGTGTTTGACAATTTATCACCAATTTGGGAAATAATCGTGTCTCCCAACAAAATATCTGTGAAAAGTGGAGGCTATTTTTTTCATCCAATTGACTGCTCTACTTTGTCATCTTTTTGTCCAAATTGTGAGCACAACTGATGACTTAACAAGGATCTTAAGGATCTCGTTTATTCCTTGTGTTTTATCCATCCAAAGCACCGCAATATAGATGCACACACAGATGCTGCGGACGTAAAACTTCATATTTCATGGGCGGCCATCTGCAAAATCATGTATGTCTGAACCAGTCAAAGATGTTACCTTTTTGTGACTCGTGGAGCTGTAGTTTCTCCTGGTGGTCCCACCCCAGAGCAGATTTATCCTGTCGGTCTGTTTGCACACCGAATTTGCCACCAAATCCTTTGACATAGTCTGGAGACACATGACACAAAGAGCTGTTGTCCACTCACTGAATGAGGAAGGGAAAAAAAAACCTTTGAAACGACCGAATGTTATTTTATTTTGAGAATTAACTTTAATCACTGAAGGGGGAATTAATTTTATACACTGTTGTGTGTTTTTGTCGGATACAACCAATGGGAGCAGATCACGCAGAGAGATGTGGTTCCAAAGTAGTCAGGATGCAAGCTCGTGTCACTGCAACAACTTGCTGCAATTTAGAAAATGCGGCTACTGGAAGCATGATGGGAAATTCTTGGCGTCTCTTATTTTCAAACAGACATATCTGCAGTCGACAAAGCCAAGCAAGCAGGACAGTATCACATTGTCAAGTATGTCAGACAAGCAGCTACAGGAGAGTTTCTCTGCCGTGCTGTGCTTTAGAGTCCAGGCAAGTCTGGACAGACCACAATTTGTCTCATTCAGAGCTTCTGGGAACAAAAAAACAACACTTGAGCAATGGCATTTTTAGCACAGTGGACAAAAGAGGGAATAGATACGAAAAATCTGAACGTTAGCAAGACCAAAAAAAAACAAAAGTCAACAATTTGAAGGCTGAAGAGTCAATAATGGTTAGGTTATAAATGTCGCCGTCATTTTTCCTGTCATGTTAGATTAATCCAGCTAAGCCAGTAAAACTCCAACAGATTTGTTGAGAAAACCTTACTTTGTCTTCTCTGGCATGCTACGCAGCAAAATATTCCCAGAAATGTGTGCCATTGACTGCAAAAGAGACTTGATGAAGTGCACACAGAAAAATATAATGTATCATAGTATATTAGTGTTGCGAAAGTCTGGACATGAAAATAAAAGCCTTAGAGGTCTAGAAAATATGAATTCACAAAAATTCTATCACGGATGTTCCTGTGCTTAGTGGGAATTGTATATATTGGAAACATTAAAAAAAAAAAAAAAAAGACTTCAAAGACTGTGTACTGATTTATATTGGGCAGATTCTAAGTGTTCAAATCAATTTATAGATCTCTTGCACATCGAACATGGATACAGTAAGTAACTCTCTGGCTCAGTTAGGTTTTTGAAAACATTTTCACCACCTTCCTTCCCTTTCATTACGCGAAAGGTGTTGTTCTAAGTAGTCTGGCGATATCAAGAAGTACTGTAGATTTGGTCCGTGTTCTACCACCAGCAAGATTATTTCAGAATGTATTGAATGACAATGTACACAGAATTTAAGATCTGTCAGGTTGAGATGAGAGAAAGTGACAAACTGGCAATTACAAGGAACTGTTCAGAAATTAAACATTTAACCTTAAACATCCAACTTGGGTTACAGGCATCAATGAAATATTCATGAAACGTCAGCCGTGGCAACAGAATATACCGCACGAATAGGCACTGTAGCTGGTGTGCAGAGTTGCAGGCTGTCTGAACGATCCCATTTAATTTTTAAGCAAGGCGATTCGTTGAAGGGATGAACAATGAAGTGGCAGTGCCAAATGCACGGCAAGGCAAATTACCATACTAAAAAAAAAAAACCATGAAGCCCCTTTTGGAACCTCTAAAAAAACTGGGAATGGATACGAAACTCTGCATTTCAGTATGCAGACAATATAAGTGAACTTGTGTCAAATGTCAGCCACTTGTTCATTTCCATACAATTATACCAACCTTTCTGAGACTCGTGCCTCTCGGTTTTGCCCTGGTACTCAAAGCCCACAGCACTCTTGTCAATTTTGTCGGTCTCCACGCCAAACTTCCCGCCAAAACCCTTGGTATAATCTGCCCAAAGGCCACAGCAAATGGTGAAGCAGGAGGCATTCCAATGAGGAGGAAAGAGAGAAAGAAACAGGACGGTTAAACGACGATGGTCCGCACATGGATGGAGGAGTGAAAATTCGGAAAAAGGATTTCCCGTTTCAGTCAGAATGACTTTTGTCACCGAAATAACAGCTAAAATAGTAATTGCGATAACGTAACCATGTGCCGAGGGCCCGCTGAATTGAGTGAATGTGGTGCCTTGACGCGGGCAAATGCCGCCGGAGGAGGTTGCGTGGCCCGCCGAGGACTGCCTCGACGGCAGCCGTCAAAGGGCGTGCAGCGTTCGGAAGGGACCATACAGCTCGCACTTAGGCTACTTTCCCACTGCATGCAGGGCATGATGACCTATTGGGATGTTTTGTATTCCCATCCTTTTATGTACTCGTTCACATTGAATTTTTTATTGTACATTCATGTGTTGATAATCAATTAGTCTGTCCATTATTAGTTGATTAAGCAATTAACTGGTTTAGAAATATACCTATATATTTTTTCAACCCCTTTATTCCAAAACAAGACAATTGACAATGCAGAAAATGAACGAATTGTTTTTGATTCAGTTATTAGTTTAGTCCAGAAAATGTTAGAAAATCGGCAAAGGTGTTTTTATTTGCAAACGCCTTATTATGATCCAGCACAAAGATAATCAATGGAGGTCAAAAATAATCTGAGAATATTTATTGTTGCAAGGCTGAACGTTGAAGGATTTGGACAATGTTAAGATAAACAAGGTCTCAAGGCGATTCATTGATTGTCAAAGTAATCACCGATTTATTTGATCAATCAATTACTTGTGGACCGATCGTTTCATTGTTGTACTTCTAGGTAGTGGGTTAGGCTTAACAACCACGACCAGTGGAATTAAGTCATTTTGGAATCAAATACTGCCCCAAACAGAACAGACGCTCAGCTCAACATGTATAATCACACTAAAATGACAAGGAATGACAACAACACAGTCTTGAATGGATTACAATCCAACTGGTACACAACCACTTTCCCCTGCATGCCGTCGCATTAGTTGAATTAGAAAGAAGGCCACAAGGCCCAAAAAAAATCATAATTGTACTGTTCGCCCTGATCAAGTATTTTCCCTCCTGTTGTCTCTTCATTTGGAAGGCGCTCGTGTGCGTTTCATGTTTGAACTGAAGACAAGAACTGAAAACCAACCTTTCTGGGACTCGTGTTTCTCCGTTTTGCCTTGGTAATCAAAGCCCACTGCGCTGCGGTCAACGCGATCTGCCTGGACACCGTACTTCCCTCCAAACCCAGTGTTATAGTCTACATAGAAAGCAAAACGGAGATGTTTAGTGGTCAGGATGATACATAATCGAAGTACTGGTCACTTAAATATCTAAGCCTACATAGAAACTTCCAAGCAATGGTGAGTAATAAGAGATGCCAAGTATGTGACATATTTACGGCAGTGATTATAACACATTTTTGGGGAGGTTTTAATATCAAATGTGACATATTAAATATTTATAAAATGGAATGATAAAAATGTGTATTCACTTCATTCAGAATTCATGCATTTAGTTCTTAAATTAATTATGCATATGTTTTTTATTTTACAAATACAGCCCAATGGGATTGTGGAAGGCGTTCGTTTCATAAACCGTGCTTCTGCTTTTTCATTTTTAAATGATTAAAAAAAAAAAAAAGTCATTTGTAAGTATTTTTTAAATTTCAATGGCTGAAATAACATTTTCAAGCTTTGAATGCAGCTCCTCAGCTTTGAACCAATGGACAAAATCAAAAAAGGGACAGATTGTAATCAAGGATCATCTAACTGCTGATTAGAGGAAGCTGTCATAGGGATCATACGAGTTCGTCAGCTGCAGTCTCTCCCTCATAAACAGTTGATGTTCCAAAAGATAATGGCGAGGCTTAGGGAACAAATAAATCATTGGTTTCCTGCCAAATGTTCAACAATCTTGAGGAGAAAAACTTCTCTTCAAGTGTAAATCAGTATAAATATCAAAGACGGATGCAGGAACAGTCAAGTAACCAAACGCTTCAGATAACACAGCAAATTTCAAACTGTGATCTGGGGTTCGAGCTCAGTTACCAAAGTTGCAACATCACCTTTCTGTGAGGCATGTTTCTCTGTTTTCCCAGCATACTCAAAGCCCACCGCAGACTATAATAAGAGCAGAAAAAGGAAAACAATATTTAAAATGATTTAGGTCAACAAAATGCAAGTAATAATGACACATGTACCAATATTGAAATCCCTTTAACGTGGATTCACTGCACCTTTATAACCCTGCCTCACAGTTCAGTATGAATGAGTAACACAGTAGACGGACTGAGGGGTGAGAGCGGTTCTGCATTCTGCCTTCAGAAAGGGAGGGTCAAAGTCGCTGTGACGCATGTGTAAATGGAAAAGGGCATCGCGGGTCAGCGGTGTGATGTTTCGATGATGTAGTCACCGTGTAGAACAATTAAATATCTGAATGGCAGCTATTCGATAGCGACCAGCTAACATTACGATACCTCCATGTGTGGCGGTAGTCAGTATTACAGCAAATATAATTTGCAGAGCCAACAAGGTGCCTGGAAAGCTGAAGTTTATAATGGACTTTCAAACGAAAGTGATGTTGAACGCACCATCTTGACACAAAGGCTCCTGAACTTTGATGTTGGAAAAAAATAGAAAAGGAAGCGGTGTGGACATATGACATTTGCATATAAGCAAAGAGTGTCTTTCACAGAGGGGGAAGAAACAAAACTTGGTGAGTAGTTGTACAAATAGCTTTGAGTAGATCTTGAAACCTTTCAAGAAAAATGGAGGAAAAAAAGCAATGGGGAAAAAAAAATTAATCTGCATTTTTTTGTGATTACATTATGTAAATAGTGTCTTATATTTAACAGCACTATAGAAATGTCTTTAAAATAAATAACCGCAACTACACAAGTAAATAAATAAAAGACAAAGCAAAAGGAGGAACTCGAGGCAAAAATGCTCCTGACAAAATATTTTAGGTGCCCCCGAGCCCCAGTCTAAACAGTATTCTGATTAATATTGCATTTGTGGAATAAGAAAATGAATTAATCCATACATTTTTTTCCATGTCAGGGGGCAGTCATTTTGGCCCTATTGATTTGAGTTGACATCAAAAGTGCCCTTGGGCTTGCATTGCGACCATCACAAGACCAAAGCCAGAAAACAAGTGAGACGTTTGCAATTGGGGCCCGAGGGCCGTTTTATGTCAATTTCGGTCAAGAGCAGGGTGGTGGAATACCACGAAAATGAGATGGTTGAAAACTGATGGATTAAGCTGCTTAATTCTTATTCCACCAACACAACAGTGATCAAAGCCAGGGCACATCCAACATGGTTTTGCAAGCAAAAAATTATTGGCTCTGGTTCTGCTTGAAGCGATGGGCCCTGGCTGATTTGTTTGATGCAAAATTCGCTGCTCAGCTTCCTTTCAAGGAAATTACCTCAATACTGCTGGGTGTCATTTCAACAAACAGCTACTACTTTTGCTGCTGCTCCTCCTCCTACTAAAATTCATCCAGACATTTGAAGTTTTCAATAAGTGGTCAGAAATCGCTAGTACCTGGTCTACGCGGTCAGACTGAACTCCATACTTCCCTCCAAAGCCCTTCGAGTTATCAGTCTGGGAGCAGTGCTTGGATAACTTGCTCTGGTATTCATGTCCCACAGCAGACTGTACAAAACATAGCACGATATTGTCAGGGCACAAAAAGACGGAGTCATCCATCAGAATGCATTCTGTTATTGGCGGTGATTAAAATAGGGTGATGAGAGAGAGAGAGAGAGAGAGAGAGAGAGAGAGAGAGAGAGAGAGAGAGAGGTAAAAATGAGTCATAAAAATGAGATCATAGTGTGAAACAACACAATTGAGTTCCCAAGAGAGAGAGAGAGAGAGAGAGAGGTAAAAATGAGCAGTATCACTGGAAACTGAGCTAGCGGTGACATCTGACTCATCAGAGATTCATGCACACACACAATGAAGCATCGCTCACTCATCAAATTCATGCTACGCTAGCTGCAAAGACCAAAGAGGAAAGACTGAATGGACCGAGCTGCTTGCCAGGAGAGATCATAGTGTGAAACAACACAATTGAGTTCCTGATGTGTTGCCAATGAAAGACAAGTACTAAGTACTACTCAACTCAACTGTATTTATAGAGCACTTTCAAACAGCCATCGCTGCATACAAGGTGCTGTACATGGAGCAACTATCATATATACAACAATAAAGCAATAAATCAGTAACAAAGATGGTAGAAAGCACCAAACAGTAAAACTAAGTTCAAATCTGAGTCATGCTGAGTCAAATGCCAAAGAATACAAGTGAGTTTTGAGGCGGGTTTTGAAGATGGGCAGCGAGGAGGCTTGCCGAATGTTCAGTGGGAGGTCATTCCAGAGAGAGGGACCAACAACAGAAAAGGCTCGATCCCCTCTGAGCCTCAGTTTAGTTCTTGGTACTTCTACTAATGTCTGGTCCGCAGACCTGAGGCGCCGGGCAGGTGTGTAGGGGTGGATGAGTTCAGAGAGGTAAGGTGGCGCGAGGTCATTTAGAGATTTGAAAACAAATAAGAGGATCTTGAAAATAACTCAAAAATGTATGGGGAGCCAGTGAAGGGATGCCAGAGTAGGAGTTATGTGCTCCCTCTTCTTAAAGGACTTCTTAAAAGGACTTCTTAAGTACTACATCTCCAAAACTGTTTTAAAGTGGTTCAAACATAATGAGTCAATAAACACTAGAGGCAATATAAATTAATTATTCTTTTTGATAATCAATGAATCAGTGAGATATCTTTTTTTTAATTTAAATTTGTACAAATCCGCAACAGGAAATATTATCTGACTTCTGTAGCCCTCCATGAAAGCAGACGGATGATCTTTGTTGTATCAAACAAATCATAAAACGTTTGCTTTGACTGGGCAAAACAACAGTCAACAATTTGCCTATCTATTTTCTGATACCTGTATGTTACGGAACAAACCAGTCACTGATTCATGATTAATTTCTGCATTTTTTTGCACTGTCAATTTGAAAGAATGTCCTGTTTTTTAATAAGTGGAATGGAAATAAATGGAAAAAAAAAATCAACAGCAGATTTTGCTTTCCTGCACCTTGTCCATGCGGTCCTGCTGAACCCCAAATTTTCCTCCATATCCATGCGATGCCTTGGGCATGTTATCCATCTCCTGCTGTTTCAAGCTTGTATGCTCTGTTGACACGGTTTCACGCAGCTGGTGGATACTATTCCAAGGGAGACAAATAATTTAATGACATATTTGTGGTTGGTCCTGCAAGCAGACAGAGAAAACTACATTCTCACTTTATGTGCCCCTGATGTCCTGAACCAGCCACTGTCTTGGCACCCCAGCGCTGCTCCTTCTCGGATAAATCATTCTGGAAACGTAAGGGGAAAATACACAGCAAAATGGTGAGTAGGACAATGACTCTGTGTCGCATAAAAGGAGACGTGGCTGAAGATGGTGTGCAAAGCTACCTCAAAGTCGGGGTCAGTCTCCCAGTCGTCACCTCCATCATCTACAGTCACCTTAACTGACTGTCCTGCTGCTGCCTTCCACATCTTTCGTGAGCCCTTGTCAAACACTCTTGAAGTACAAAAACACATTCAATTATGAAAACAGAGAGCAGATATTAACCCTGTTAAATTTGATGACAATTTCATATAATCATATACAGGTATGTCCATTTAGCTCCATATACTGCTTATTTGAATCACACTGCATCTCTATAACTTGACACAAAATAGAGATCAAATGTTTAAATGCCAAACAATAGTGTTTAGCTTTAGCACTGCTTGATCGGTGGTCATTATTGTTTCTCATGTTGTCATTTTAGATCTGAGTATTAGAAGGAAAAATTGGGAAAGCGTCGAAAAGTGGAAATTTCCTCGATCTTCACAAAAGAGTGTAGTCACAAACAAGTTCACACAGACCAGGAAGCAATCGCGTGTGTGTTGCCAATATGACATGCCGAACTCCGACGACACAACCACACCCTTCTACGACTCGTGCACGAACCCTGAATATCTGACATGTCTCTGATTATGACAGCAGTTGATTGGGAATTATTTAAGAACGTTCGAATTGGGTAATCCCCAATAATCCTTTTTTCGTTGATGACTCACGTTAAGTGGGTGAAGCGTGCAGTTTGTAAAGTCAGACAGGTAGTTCATATTCAGGGAGCTAAATCCCAGCACATATAACACAGCATTAGTTTGAAACGGAAACAGCACAAATGGAACGTGTTTTGCCCTTTGACCAATGACATTCAAATTTTACGTGCCGTCTGCCAGGAAGCTGTGGAAAACGGTGAGCCCCTATTTTTGTGAATTATGTCGGCATAGGTTGACACGCATTTCAGGTGCCAACAGCGTTGTGCTGGGGTTGCGGAATTGTATGTGACTGTCTGTCTGCGGCATTTCCTGCTCCTTTTTTTTTTCCCACAGAGCTAGCTGCTTATGCTAACATTGCCAACTGCGATTACGGAGTCGGCGCAAACTCGGAGAGGCCAAGACATTTTCGAATGGAATTAATATTTCCACGCTCACCGTCCACGACAAATGGAGCTGCGTCCAGAATCCACTCAGCCGGATCTTCGGGAGAAAATAAAGTGAGCGTGTTCTCGCCCTGATCGAGATGGAGAGGAACGCTCAACGCTGTCGGGATCTTCCTGTTCTCCCTGAATCCCGTTGTCAGACGTGATGACGACACAAATGGGCGTGTGGTGCGCTCTTGCGTAATGCCTTTGATCTGTCGACCGCCGTACGTTGACGTTACAAGTGCTCGTCAAAAAGTTAGAATATCATGAAAAAGATTTCTTTGTTTCAGTAATACTAGTGAAACTTGTGTAGCCTGATACATTTCAAGTGTTAATCCATTTTAATTTCGATGATTATTGTACATATACCTCAAAACGATTTTTTTAAATCGCTATCTCACAAAATTAGAATAATACTTAAGACTATACAAAGAAAGGAGTTTTATAAATGGCCAACCAAAAAGTATGAACGTGAAAACTATGTACATGTACAGCACTCAATACTGTAATTAGTTGAGGCTCCTTTTGCCTCAATTACTGCACCAATGTGACGTGGCAATGGAGTCGATCAGTGTGTGGCACTTCTCAGGTGTTATGAGAGCCCAGGTTTCTCTGATAGTGGCCTTCAGCTCTTCTGCATTGCTGGGTGTGGTGTATCGCATCTTCCTCTTCACAATATCCCATAGATTTTCTATGGGGTTAAGGTCAGGTGAGTTTGCTGGGCAGTCAACACAGGAATATCATGGTCCCTACACCAGGTACTGATAACTTTGTCACTGTGTGCAGGCACCAAGTCTTGTAGGAAAATGAAATCTACATCTCCATAAAACTGGTCAGCAACAGGCACCCCAAACCATGACTGACTGTGGAAATTTGACAGTGGACCTCAAGCAACGTGGATTCTATTACTCCCCCTGCTTCCTCCAGACTCTGGGACTGTGGTTTCCAAAGGAAATGCAACATTTGCTTTCATCAGAGAACATGACTTTGGACCAATCAGCAGCAGACCAGTCCTTTTTCCCAGGCAAGATGCTTCTGACGTTGTTTGGTGTTCAAGAGTGGTTTGACACAAGGAATGCGACAGTTGAAACCCATATCTCGCATATGACTTTCAAAATACAGTGATCCCTCGCTACTTCGCGGTTCGCTTATCGCGGGTTCAGTGTATCGCGGATTTTTTCAAACATATAAATGTTTTTTTTTTTTTTTTTTACATATACATGGAGTACAGTACTGTATATGTTGCTCTATGTGACTCGCTGTTGTTTTGGAGCATCTCGCGGACCGTTTGCGGACTTTAAAAAAAACAATTTTTTTTTTAACCTGTTTATGCTAATTGGACGCTACTTCGCGGATTTTCGTTTATCGCGGGTGGTTTTAGTCCCCATTAACCGCGATAAACGAGGGATTACTGTATTCTAATTTTCTGAGATAGTAATTGAGAGTTTTTTTAATTAGTTTTCAGATGTAATCATCTAAATTTAAACGAATTAGCCCTTGAAATGTATCAATTTGGAATGAATGTATGCATTACACAAGTTTCCCTTTTTGAATAATAGTACTGAAATAACTAAACTTTTTCATGATATTCATTTTATGACGAGCACCTTTACATAAACACAAAAAATGGGGTTTAATTGATTCATCTATCCATTTAAAAACACAGTTTTAAACATTTCATTTGAATATTAAACAAACATGGCAAGTCTGTACGCGGCGGAACAAAGCACGGCCATCCCGTCTTACGTTTAGCTGTTTCATAATTTTGGGGGCTTAGAATTGTTTTTCAAACTAATACATTCACTTTAATACTTTTGGTTGAAAATTAAAACAAACAGAGAGGAAACCAACCAACAGAGAGAAAAGAAGAGAAGGGGTGTCTGTGTACCTTATATTGCCGGCCTCTCAGAGAAAATACAGAGAATATTTCTACAACATGATATCCCTGTTTATTTTAAACCGATAAACACATTGAGACAAAAACTAGTACACCCCAAAGACCGGGTTCCCAACACCCAAAAATGCAATCTGATTTATTCCATCCGTTGCCAAGAAAGTGAGTGCAAGGAACATTACATCGGAGAAACCAAACAAACACTCAAGAAAAGACTTTATCAACACAAATGGAAAAACAATGATAACAAAAGTGCAGTATAC